TTCCTAATATCCACCAGTGGGGTTGCAGCCTACCCATAATTTTTTTTTTAAAGATGTATGTATTTATGTTGAAAGAGTTACAGAGAGAGGGGGAAACACAGGGAGAGAGAGCAAGAGAGATCGTCCATCTGCTGATTCACTTCCCAGATGGCCACAATAGCCCGCACTGGGTCAAGATGCAGCCAGGAGCTTCATCCGGGTTTCCCATGTGGGTAGCAGGGGCCCAAAAACTTAGGCCATCTTTAGCTGCTTTTCTCACACCATTAGCAGGGAGCTGGATTGGAAGCAGAACAGCTGGGTCTCAAATTGGTGCCCACAGTGGATGGTGGCACTGCAGGCGGTGGCTTAACCTACTATGCCACAATGCTGGCCCCAAGGGTAGCCTTTGCAGCCAGGACATGAACCAGTGCCCATATGGGATGTTGGCGTACCAAGTAGTGGCTTAACCTGCTACACCACAGTGCCAGTCTCCAGAGTTCTTACTTTAAAAACTATTTGGGGGCCAGCACTGTGGCATAGTGGATAAGGCCACTGCCTGTGGTGCTGGCATCCCATATGGGCGCTGATTTGAGTCCTGGCTGCTCCTCTTCTAATCTAGCTGCTAATGGCCTGAGAAAGCAGTGGAAGATGGCTCAAATGTTTGGTCCCCCATGTGGGGGACCCAGAGGAAGCTCCTGGCTCCTGGCTTTGGCTCGAGCTCAGCTCTGGGCATTGCAGCCATTTGGGGAGTGAACCAACAGGTGGAAGATCTCTGTCTCTGCCTCTGCCTCTCCGTAACTCTGCCTCTCAAATAAATAAATAAGTCTTTAAAAGAAAAAAAACCGATTTGTATATATATTTGAAAGTCAGAGTTATACACAGAGAGGGAGAGATATTCCATCTGCTGGTTTGGTCCTGGCCAAAGCCAGGAACCCAGAACTCTGTGCGGGTCTCCCATGTGGGTGGCAGGAGCCTGGTTACTGGGATCATGTTCCACTGCTTTCCCAGGTGCATCACCAGGGAGCTAGATTAGAAGTGAAGCAACCGGGACTCAAACTAGCACTCATATGGGATGCTGACATTGTAGGAGGTGGCTTAACTTACTATATACCACAATGTCAATCCTGATAACAGAGTTGCTGACTACCCCTCATCATCTGCAAAGGCTACCCCTGGGGCCAGCATTGTGGCATAATAGGTCAAGCCACCACCTGCAATGCCACCATCCGCTGTGGGCACCAGTTTGAGACCCAGCTGTTTTGCTTCCAATCCTGCTCCCTGCTAATGCACCTGGGAAAGCAGTGGAAGATGGTCCAAGTGTTTGGACCCCTGCATCCATATGGAAGATCTAGAAGAAGCTCCAGGCTTCTGGCTTCAGCCTGGCATAGCCCTGGCCTTTGTGGACATCTGGGCAGTGAACCAGTGAATGGAAGATCTCCTTCCTCCCTATAACTCTACCTTTCAAATAAATAAAAATAAATCTTTTTAAAAAATCCTGTATATATTCCTACCCCGACACACACACACACATACACCATTACATTGTCCCCTCTCTGATAAAATTGTAGTGGTTGTCCCGGAACAGGCCCCTCACTCACCAGGCTAGCCTGGAAATTGCTGTCTCCTATATAACGTTTTACATATCTCTACCATCTCGTCCTGCTTTGAGTATTGGAGAGGACTATGCCTCCATGAGAAAATAAAACTGTTTCTTGAACCACAGGATGGAACCTTCTCAAATCCCGGTGCTAGCAGCCCCAGCCCCAGGGATCCAGAGAGCTTGCAAAAGAAAAGCACCGTGAACATCTGGGAGGAAGATAGCCCCACGAACCCATCCACTCAGCACATCATGGAGTCTTCTACTTGGCCAGTGACCAACTCAGCCACCGAAAGAGCAGAAGATACTACGAATGAACCGAGCGCTCAGCCCTTCAGCCAACACACCCAGCCAACCACCCTGCTCCCCACAGACTTTCTGACCGAGCCCACTGCTGATCCCTACTGCCCAGAGCCCGACACTTTCTGCTCTGACTCGGACTGTCAGCCCATAGCAGAAGGGTTGGGAAATGCTTTGGTTGATTTCTCCCTGAGGCTCTACCAAGCCTTCTCAGCCACAAAGAAGCCTGAAACCAACCTGGCCTTCTCCCCATTCAGCATTGCCAGCCTCCTAACTCAAGTCCTGCTTGGTAAGAGCCTGACTGAATTCTTTCCAGGTTGGATATTGGACCCTCCTATGAGTGTCACCACCCCAGAAACTGTTTACAAAGCTCTGTCTCCAGGAGGAAGCTACCAAAATGAGCTACACAGTGACAGAGACAGGGAGCGGGGGGTGGGGAGGAGATTGGTGATACATCTTTTCATTCTTGAACATTTCTTCATTCCACAATGGTTCAGTAGGCACTGTTGCTTATTGAGTCCTGTGGACTGTACAAGAGTATATAAAATAAGGTTCTAGCCATCAACCATGCTTCAGAGTAAGGCAACATGTGAGATGGAATCATCGGAGTTAGACCTAGAGTAGAATTGTGGTGACATTGCTTTCTAGTTGTCTGGCCTTGGGCAGATCACTTAACCTGTGGGGCCTCAGTCCTCATGTAAAACAGAGCCGGTACTATCTGCCTCAAAAGATTAAGAATCTGGTACCCTAGTGCCTGACTCTCTGGGAAGTCAAAAAAGTGTTAATCGCTCCGCCTTCCTGGGGATTACTGTCAAGTGGCATGGGGTAACTATCTTTGCAATAGCACACATTGCTAAAGGCAGTGGGAAGAAGGATCCCAGGAATGCTGCTAGGAACAATATAGTGGGCATAGGAGAATATTTCTCTGGAGTTCCAGAATGCTAACATCTCACCGGACGCCCATGGCACCCATAGTACCCTACTCCCCAGTCAGGACAACCACGTGATCTCCAGACATTACCAAGCATCCACTGGGAGGCACATTTCAGTCAACTGGTTTCAGTCAGTTTCTTTATTGCCCAAGAAATACAGTTCAAATCCTGCCTCCATCCTTCCCTTGTTAGCTCTGAGCCTTTACATTGCATAAATTCACTTAATCTCTTGAGCCTTAGATTCCTCCTCTGTAAAATGGAAAAGGAGGTTGTCCTTACAAGGACGATGAGAGATGATGGGAGAAGTACGTAGAATACTTGGAAGCAAGTAGGTGCTCCGTCAGTTTTAGCTGTGATTGTACACAAGACATGTACAGTAAGTATTTAACAGTGAATGCGTAACTAAAAAGGCATTAAACATTTCTCCTCTTACATGATTTCTTGCTCTAAATAGTAATCTAGTGTCCCTGTCTATATATAGAATGAAACTCTGTAAACCCAGACCAACTCAAAAGTAGTTCACGTGGGACAGGCAGTGGTTAGACCTGGCTTTGGAGGATGAGTAGGATGTAAATCAGTAGGGAAGCCAGGAAGGAGAGTATTCAAAACCCCCAAAGAGCCTGACTCTGGGATTATTTGTAATTCTTTGTCCCTATCTTTCTGACACATGTATTGTCTTCCAAAATAGCACTTCCAGCACTGAGATTCTGAGACCCCTTCCATGCAGGGACCCCTCCTGAATTCCAGCCTGGTTCCTCTACCCTGGTTCCAGATGGTGGGTCTCCCACTCCTGTGAGTGCCACTCATCTCTGCCCTCTGTCTTAGGGGCTGGGGGCAGCACCAGAAAAAACCTGGAGGATGTCCTCTCTTACCCCGAGGACACTCCCTGTGTATTCGAGGCCCTGAAGGCCATCACATCCAAAGGCGTCACCTCCGTCTCTCAGATCTTCCACAGTCCAGGTGAGTGCCCAGGGAGGGACAGTGAGGCAAAGGAAGGTCTGGAGAAGATTCTGAAGGGGGGCCAGCCCTGGGAAAAGAGACAGAGGGGATGTCGGGGCTGGGATATGGGGCATGGGATGCGGACAGGTAAGAAGGCTCTGGCAAGCCTTTCTGGTAGCAACAGGAGCTGGAGTATCCTCATGGTGAGACCTTGGGCAAGTCATGTGCATTCATCAACTCCTTTTATTTTTTATTTGAAATGCAAAATTTTAAAATGATTTTTAATTAATTAATTAATTTGAAAGGCAGAGAGACAAAGATGGAGAGACACATCTTCCATCTGCTGGTTCATTCCTTGAATATCTTTAACAGCCAGGGATGGATCAGGCCAAAGCCGGGAACCAGAACTCAATCTGAGTACCCCATGAGGGTAGCAGGGACCCCAGTACTTGAGCCATCGCCTGCTGCCTCCTGGGGTGTGCATCAGCAGGAAGCTGGAATTGGGAGCAGAGCCAGGACCCGAAACCCAGGCACTCTAACGGGATGAGGGCATCCTAAGCTGTGCTCCAGTTCCTTTTAGAATAAGAACGTCCTCATGTATTTAATAGGTAAGGCCAACCGGGTGGGCTAGACAACTAAGGACATAAAATAGGCAAGCAACTTTTTAGGCTCAGGGAGTCTTGGACTCTCATTGTTTGTACTTTTATGTTATATGAATTTGTTGTCATTTACACAAGTTCTATTATTAAGTGGGTAATCCTAGCAATAAAGAGTAATTATAATGGATAATAATAGTCATAAACTTCCAAGATGATCTAATGCAGCTGTACTCGAACTTTGCTCTCCAGAGCAGTAGGGTCCTGCAAAGCTGCTTCAGGAGCTACGGGTGGGGTCTGGGGGGGTCACCACTTCCTGTGTGAAGGAGACAAACTGGAGCCCTGTTACACGGGGGGCTTCAGACAGACTTTGAAACACGTAATTCGGCTGCTTTAAGTAGTTAGATCTCGTCCAATCCCCCCCTACTTTTTGAAAAAAGCAAAACCTTTTTTTTTACAAAAGCCATACTCATTCATTCTAGAAAATAGAGAAAAGCAAAGAAAACAAAGAGAAAACTCACCTAGCAAAGCATCCTCTTTCAAAATATGGCTTAATAATGTCAAGAAATATTGCATTTAATTATTTGTTATAGATCAGTTTTGTCCTGTGTCTTGCTAGGTTGTTGGAAATTCAGCATTCAACATTTTTTAAAAAGCTTTATTTATTTGAGAGGCAGAGTTACAGAGAGAGAGAGAGAGAGAGAGAGAGAGAGAGAGAAAGAGAGATCAAGCTTCCATCTGCTTTCATTCTCCAAATGCCTGCAACAGCCAGGACTGGACCAGGCCGAAGCCAGGAGCCTGGAACTCTATCCGAGTCTCCCACATGGGTGCAAGGTCCTAGGTACTTGGGTCATGTTCCACTGCTTTCCCAGTCCATCAGCAAGGAGCTGGATCAGAGGCAGAGCAGCCAGAGCTCAAACCACTGGGATGCCAGTGTTGCGGGCAGCAGCTTAACCTGCTGTGCCACAATGCCAGTCCTGAAGTTATCTTTCCATTCCATTTTCCCATGAGCGTTATGAAGTATCCTTGGATAAGAAGAGTGGGCTGGACACCTGCTCCAACATTCTGGAATCCCTGGAATGAACAGAAGGAGCCCTGGAGGAATGTTCACTCTGCATGCTCACTCTGAGAAGGGGAGGGGGTACTTTAGGGAACTCATGCCTCCCTCTCTTGACCCCCCGCCCAGACCTAGCCATAAAGGAGACCTATGTGAATGCCTCTCAGAGCCTGTATGGCAGCAGCCCCCAAGTGCTGAGTAATGATAGCGATGTCAACTTGAAGCTCATCAATGCCTGGGTGGCTGAGAACACCAACCACAAGATCAGCCAACTGCTGGACAGCCTGCCCGCTGACGCCAGCCTTGTTCTTCTCAACGCTGTGTACCTGAGTGGTAAGAGGCCCTCGGCCAGATGATCTTCCTCTTCGGGGTCCTTCTCCCCCTCTGGCTTCAAAGTTTTCCCAACCCCAAGCTCCACAACCAAATCCCAAAGCACCCATCCCTCTCTTTGCTAACAGGACAGTCCGCTCCTCTTCGTCCTTTCCCTACCTGCGTTACAGTACTCTCTCTTCCTTCCAGCCAAATGGAAGAAACCCTTTGATAATAAAAAAAAGATGGAGCCCTTCCACCTCAAAAACTCTGTGATAAAAGTGCCCATGATGAGTAGCAAGAAGTATCCTGTGGCCCATTTCACTGACTCAATTCTGAAAGCCAGGGTAAGTTCTTAATCTTTCTCCATTCCTGTCTCACCCACCTGAGTGTCCAGTGTTCTGCCATGGCCCCCTCATTTTGGTGTATATCCTTTAATGTTCATCGTTTCTGCTCCTTCCAACAGTAGTTCCGCCCTATATCCTCTCCTTTTCTCCCCTCTGACCTTGGCCAAGGCAAGCATTGTATATTCTTGGCTGGATGCTAACGTTTCTTCACTCATCTCTGCTGGATTGAATGGCACAAAGTGAGTTATGTTTCTATTCTATGCATCTGTTTCTCTCCAGTCAATCCTCCAGGAGACCGTGTGTTTGTGTCCGTGTGCAGTATTCATGTGTACAAGTACATCTGGATGGGAGCGTGGATGTGCACCTGTGTTAAATGGTTTAAGTTCCATAGCAGGAACGGAGCAGAATTTCAATGGGTAGAGAGGGAAGGAAGACAGAATAAGGAACCCAGAGGATTCTGCTTTGTAAAGTACCTCCTGCCCTGTGACCACCTGCTCAGACAGCAGGACACAGACCTATGAGGTAGATAATGGGAAACACTGGTCTGAGAAGTAGATCTGTTCTGGAACACACCAGGCTTTGTTTCCACCTTGGGAGTTTTCCTTACCTTTTCCCTCTGTGTGGATCTTCCTTCACTGCGGTCTTCACATAGCTTGTGTCTTCTGGTCATGTCAGTGTCAGCTCCAGGGTCACCTTGAGGAACCAGCGTTACGGTGCAGCAGGTTGAGCTGCAATTTGCAAAGCCAGCATCACATATCAGAGTGCCAGTTCGAGTCCTGGCTGCTCCACTTCCAATCCAGCTCCCTGCTAATGGGCCTGGGAGAGCAGCAGATAATGGCCCAAGTGCCTAGGTCCCTGTCACCCATGTGGGAGACCCAGATGAAGTTCCTGGCTTCTGGCATTAGCTATTTGGGGGAGTGAACCAGCATATGGGAGATCTCTCTCTCTCTCTCTCTCTCTCTCATTCTCCTTCTCTCTGATGCTCTGTCTTTCAAACAAACAAATGAATACTTTTTTTAAAAAGGTCACCTTGATGGAGAGGCTTTTTCCCGCTTGCAGCAGCCTCCTCTTCACCCTGTAATGTCACCTGTTTTATTATATTCACAGTACTCATCCCTGTCTGAAATTGTTTGCTTATTTGATTATAATGTTGTCCATCTCCGAGATGTGACCTCTTTACTTGGGTACAGGAGCCTCACTTCTTTCTTTTCTGTATCTACAGTGCCTAGAGCAATGCCACATATAACAGGGGCTCACTCAGTATTTGCTGAATAAATGAATAAATAGAGTAGAGGTTGCTGGGGCAGGCATTGATGGGCCGCAGTTAAGACACTGAGACACCCACATCCTGGGAGAATGAACCCAGTGTGTCTGGGTTCGAGTCCTGACTGCTCCCAGTGCCAGTTTCTGCTAATGTGCACCCTGGGAGGCCCCAGGTGAGAGCCTAAGTAGCTGACTCCCTGCCACCTTCGTGGGAGACCTGGATTGAATTCCTGGTTCTCAGCTCTGCTTCTACCCTCCTGTCTGTTGCAGCATTTGGGGAGTGAACCAGTGGACAAGAGATAACTCTTCTTTCTCTCTCTCTCTCTCTCCTCTACCTCTCAAATAACTTTTTTAAATTTAGAAAACAAAATAGAAAGTGCTGAATGGAGCTACTCGGTCAGAGCCAGAGGCCAGGAAGACTTTACAGAAGTTACTTTTGATGGTTCCCCATCCATTTCTTTACCCATTCACACACTTACTCACCCAGCCATCTATCCCTGTCCAGTGTGTTTGAGCACAAATGACCTATTTAACAGAACCAGAACAGCGTGTCTCAGGCACACAAGAGTGAGTGTGTGTTGGCATGTCCCTGGCATCACTGTGGCTCAGAGTGCGCTGGGTCCCCACCCCACCCCCGTGTCCGTGAGTTCCACATCCACAGATACTACCAACTGAGGGTCAAAAACATTCTGGGGAAAAATAAATTGCATCTGGATAAGCTTTCTTTCCCTTTTCATTAGTCCCTCAACAATACAGTATACAACTGTTTACATAGAATTTACATTCGGTATTACAAACAATCTAGAGATGATTTTAAGTATATAGGAGGAGGTACATAGCTTACATACAAATACCACACTGTTTTATATGAGGCACTTGAACATCTATGGATTTTAGTACCTGAGAGGCCGTGGAACCAGTCCCCCATGGACACTGAGAGAGGACTGTGGGGGAGGTGTCCATACAATGTTTTCTCAGTGCCAAAGGAGGAGTAGTTTTGAGCACAAAAACCAGTTCTTAGTTCCTTGAGTTTTAAACAGATGTTTATAAACATCATTCATTGAAAAATCGAAGTTTTACTTGTGCCTTTTAATTTTCAGCTGAATTTGCTACATTATTTATAATAGAGCAGTTTTTTAGGAAAAAAAACATTTCATTTGTCCACTAATTAAGCCTTATTGAACAGATTAAACTCCTTTGTTCTATTTACAAACATAGTTAATTAATAGTCCCATAAACATTTCAGGCTCCCTTTATACATTAATAGACTTGATATTCTTTTTTTTTTTTTTGTAAGCTTTATTTATTTGGAAGGCAGAGTGCCGCAGAGAGAGGGATCTTCCATTTGCTAGTTCACTCCCCAAATGGCCACAACAGCCAGGTCAGAGCCAGGCCAAAACCAGGAGCTAAGAACTCCATGCTGGTCTCCCACATGGGTGCAGGGGCCCATGCACTTGGACTATCTTCTGCTGCTTTCCCAGGTTCATTAGCAGGAAGCTGGATCAGAGGTGGTCTTGAACCAGCACTCAGCTATGGGATGCCAGCATCACAAGTAGTGTCTTAACCTGCTGCACCACAGCGCCAGCCCCCTCACTGTTCTTTTCAAACATGTCAAATCCCTGACCAAGCAGAATTATTGTTCCGCTTGGCCATATCATCCCAGCACCCAAAAGCCACTTATGGACTGAAAATTAGATGTTATAGTCTTTATGCACCACTCATAAGAGAGAACAGGAACAGAGCTCAGAGCTCAAATCACCTGCAAATGTTACATTGCCAGTGGGTGGAAACGTGGAGGTGTGATTAGACACGAGTGCCCACTGCTCTTCCTTCCACCAGTAGAGACAGACTAGCACTATTCAGTTAGACCAGCTGGCAAAGCTGGGACGCCTAGTTCTGGCTGCTGCAGGCATCAGGCCTGTCTTGGGACATCAAGAATGTGAGCCAGGGACTGGCACTGTAGTGCAGTGGGTTAAAGCCCCAGCCTGCAGCACCAGCATCCCATATGCATGCCGGTTCAAGTCCCGGCTACTCCACTTCCAATCTAGCTCCCTGCTAATGCACCTGGGAAGGCAGCAGAGGATGGCTGAAATCCTTGGGCTCCTGCACCCACGTGGGAGACCCGGAAGAAGTTCTTGACTCCTGGCTTCAGATCAGCTCAGCTCTGGCTGTTGAGGCCATTTGGGAAGTGAACCAGTAGATGGAAGAACTTTCTCTCTCTCTCCCCCTCTCCCTCTCCCTCTCCCTGTAACTCTTTCAAATAAATCTTAAAGAAAAAAACAGAGCTGGGGTAGCCAGAGTGACAGGTGCCCCTCTCGTTCTCCAGGTGGGGCAGCTGCAGCTCTCTCACAACCTGAGCTTTGTGATCCTGATGCCCCAGAGCCTGAAGCACCCCCTGGAGGACATAGAGAAGGCTCTCAGCCCTGCTGTCCTCAAGGCCGTCATGAAGAAGCTGGAGTTGTCCAAGTTCCAGCCGACTTTCCTGATGATGCCCCGGATCAAAGTGAAGAGCAACCAGGACATGCTGTCAATCATGGAGAAACTAGGTGAGCCCTGCAAGTTCAGGTCACTCCCAGGCCATCTGAGGAAAGGAAGGGAGGGGTCCCTAAAATGCAAACATTTGCAAGCCGTGGTCTCAGGTTGTACCTCAAGCCTGTGAGTAAAGGGATAGGTGCTGTTATCCCATTGCATCATCAAGGAAGTGGCAACTGTATGCAACTTACCCAAACTTGTGTGACTTAACCCTTGAGCTAGTTAAAGGCAAATCAGCACGCCAGGCCAGGTCGCCCGTTCTCATCTGTTCTAGTATGGTTCATTATCACGTAGACAGTGGAACAAGTGACCAAGGTGGGCTGTCTATGCTCCTTCCCAGAGACATTCATAACAGGCAGCCACCCCATGGAATACACAAGAAGTGATTGGCTATAAGGGCTCTCCCCTTATACAGAAACTGCCTGTCCTAACCTTGGCTTCCTGTCCAGACCTGTTGGCTGGTTTCCTGTTCCAGCCCTTGACCGCCTAACACATGATCTCATTTCCGTGTGTATTGCATCTGCATAGCAAAAACACTTTCTCTGTGCTCTCAGAGTACAGCACTTCTGGTCACCCACCACAGCGAGGGTGGTGCTGTCCCCGGACCATGCAGTTTTCCAATTGTCTGCAGACACAAACTGGATGACCTGCAGTTTGATTCATGTCTGACGCTGTCTACCTGGAGATAGCATCAGATGCCACCTCAGGGGCTCAGCCCCACAAGACTGCTCCCGCTTCAGACACCAGTCACAAGACGGTTGCCACCTGGGCTTCTATAAATCAGAGGTTCTCACGGCCCCTCCTAGGGTTCGTTCTTTGCTAGAACGGCTGACAAAATGCAGGGAAACCCTTGAAGTCACTGGCTTACCGTATAATAAAGGATATGGTGAGGGCCACAGGTGGGACAGCCGGAAGACAAGGTACATGGAGTCTGGAGAGGTCCTGAGCACAGGAGCTCCCGTTCTGTGCTGTCGGGGCACCACGTCCTGGTGTGTGGATGTTTCGTTCAACCTGGAAGTTCTTAGAACCGCACACTTTTGAAATTATGCTTAAATATTGATATATTTTATTTGAGAGGCAGAGAAACAGGCAGATAGATAGAGCTCCCGTCTCCTGATCGACTTTCCAAGTATCTGCAATGTCTGGGGCTGGGCTGGGCCAAAGTCAAGATCCTGGAACCCACCCCAGGTCTCCCATGAGGGTGGCATTAACCCAACTACTTGCCTTTCAAGACCTGCATTAACAGGAAGCTGGCTGGAGCCGGAGCCAGAGCTGGAGCCGGAGCCGGAGCCGGAGCCGGAGCCAGGCGTTGAACCCAGGCATTGCTGACACAGGATCCGGGCGTCTTAGCCAGCATCCCAACTCCTGGGCTAAACGTCTGCCCTGTGCTTTTGAGGTTGTTATGGAGGCTTCATCCTGTATGCGTGATTATTAACTCAGTCTCCGGCTCCTCCTCTCCCAGAGCATGAGGAACAGAGCTGGAAGTTCCAGCCTTCTAATCACAGCTTGGTCTTGGTAGTGAGCAGCTCCCACCAGGAGTCTACCGAGAGTTACCCCTTTGGAACAGAAGGCGCTGCTATGACCAAGGAAATGCCATGGGATTTCGGAGCTCTGTGTCAGGAGCCAGGGTTGATGACCAAACATTAGAACCAAGAATGCTCTTAGCACCCCTACTGCTAAGGAAGTTCAAGGGTTTTAGGAGCTGTTTTTCAGGAACTGGGGCAAAGACCAATATATACAAGGTTACTTTTCAAATTGTGTGAAAAAATGGAATTAAAAATACGTTGAAGGGTGCCAGAGCTGTGGTGCAGTGGGTAAAGATGCTGCCAGCATCCCATATGGGCACCAGTTCAAGTCCTGGCTGCTCCACTTCCAATCCAGCTACCTGCTGATGCACTTGAGAAAGCAGTGGAAGATGGCCTGCACCTACACAGGAGACCAGGAAGAAGCTCCTGGCTCTTGGCTTCTTGCTTCAGCCTGGCCCAGACATGGTTGTTGGAGTCATTTGGGGAGTGAACCAGTGGGTGGAAGATCTCTCTCTCTCTCTCTCTCTCTCTCTCTCTCTCTTCCTCTCTCGCCCTCTCTCCCTCTGGAACTCTGCTTTTCAAATAAATAAATCTTTTTAAAAATTAGTTTAGGGGTGGGTGTTGTAGCACAGCTACTACTTCGGATGCCCACATTCCATATCCATGTGCCTGGATTCAAGTTCTGTATATGCTTCTGATCCAGCTTCCTGCTAATGCACACCCAGGGAGGCAGCAGGTGCTGGCTCAAGTACTCGAGTCCCTGCCACCCACATTGGAGACCCAGATGAGTTCCTAGTTTTTAGCTTCAGCCTGGGCCCAGCCCTGGCTGTTATAGGCATTGAAAAAAATGAACCAGTGGTTGGAAGAGACCTCTCTCTCTCTCTCTTTCTTTTGCTTTCTCTTTCAAATATATAAAACTTTTTTAAAAAAATATTTATTTATTTATTTGAAATTCAGAGTTACACAGAGAGAGGAGAGGCGGAGAGAGAGAGAGAAAGAGAGAGAGAGAGAGAGGTCTTCCATCTGCTGGCTCACTCCCCAATTGGCCACAATGGCCGGAGCTGCACCAATCCAAAGCCAGCAGCCAGGAGCTTCTTCTGGGTCTCCCACATGGGTGCAGGGGCCCAAGAACTTGGACCATCTTCTACTGCTTTCCCAGGCCTTAACAGAGAGCTGGATGGAGCATCCGGGACTCAAACCAGCACCCACATGGGATGCCAGCACTGCAGGTGGCAGTTTTACCTGCTGCACCACAGTACCAGCCCCCAAAATATATAAAATTTTTAAAGGATAAAATTAATTGAAAATAATTTTAAAGGTTAGTGTGCTGCAAAAAAATTTTTTTAAGATTTATTTTATTTATGTGAAAGGCAGAGTTACAGAAGAAGGAGGAGAGAGAAAGGTCTTCCATCTGGTTCACTCCTCAAATGGCCTCAATGGCTGGAGCTGGGTCAGGCTGAAGCCAGGAGCCAGGAGCTTCTTCCTGGTCTTCCACATGGATGGCAGGGGCCCAAGCACTTGGGTCATCTTCTGCTGCTTTCCCAGGTGCATTAGCAGGAAGCTGGATAGCAAGTAGAGCAGCCAAGACTCAATCCAGCACCCATGTGGGATGTTGGCACTGCAGGAGGTGACTTAACCCACTGTGCCACAGTGTTACCCCCCTCAAATTTTTTTAAATCCATGCATAGGTTTTTTTCATAACACCCATTTTCCGTGAACATTTTGAAACATGTCGTATGTGTTTCTTAGTACTTCATAGCATCACAGCATTGCATATGATCTCATAATACATGACCTGTCTCTGATATATGACCTGTCTTCCAAGGTCGCTGGAGACAAGGTAGCAAAGACATCACTTTCCAGAGCTTGTTTGGGGTGGGAGGCAAGGCCTCTCCCCTCTTGAAAGACAGAGCAGTGGTCGGGTCCCACCGGTAGAGAATGCCCGGAATTGGGGCAGAAGGCACAATCCATGATCTGACAAGCAAGAGAGAGGGCAAAACGGAGCGCTGGGACCTAGGACGAATGCAGATCGGTCAGGGCAAAGGTCTCGGTCAGCTGAGAGCTGGGCGCTGGTCTCTGACTTTGTTCTCCGCTTTTCCCTAGAGTTCTTTGACTTTAGTTACGACCTCAACCTGTGTAAGCTGACGGATGACCCGGATCTTCTGGTGTCCACCATGCAGCACCAGACCGTGCTGGAGCTGACGGAGACTGGTGTGGAGGCGGCTGCCGCCACGGGCGTCTCTGTGGCCCGCAGCTTGCTCATCTTCGAGGTGCAGCAGCCCTTCCTCTTCCTGCTCTGGGACCAACAGCACAAGGTCCCTGTCTTCATGGGGCGAGTGTACGATCCCAGGGACTGAGACCTGCAAGGGGCCAGGGCAGGGCAAGCCCTGCGCCCAAGCCTCAGCGCTCCCAGGTGCAGCCCTGCCGCTGCCCGCCTCGACCTAGTTTGCCAGCCACTGCACACACAAAGGGCTGGCAAAGGGAGCTGCTCCCATCAGCCCTTCCTTGAGGCCCTGTCATGCTCACCAAAGCACTTTCTGCAGCTTTCTCTTGTTCAAGTTGACCACACTCTACAAATAAAACTCAGCTGACCATGACTTCCTTTCTCATTTGCCTTTGGATATGGCTGCTTCGATTCCAGAGGACAAGAGCTGCCATGGCATCCGTGTCAGCCAACCATCGCTGTGTAATGAGTCACTCTAAATTTAGTGGCTTAAAACTGCATTATTGTTAAGATTTTATTTATTTATTTGAGAGAGAGAGTTACAGAGCCCCCAGAGCGAGGACTGGACAAAGAGAGATCTTCCACCCGCTGGCTCACTCCCCAAATGACTGCAATGGCCGGAGCTGCGCCGATCTGAAGCCAGGAGCCAGGAGCTTCTTCTGGGTCTCCCACTTGAGTGCAGGGGCCCAAGCACTTGGACCATCTTCCGCTGTTTCCCAAATGCATTAGCAGAGAGCTGGATTGAAAGAGGAGCGGCTGGAACATGAACTGGCACCCATATGGAATGCTGGTGCCGCAGGTAGAGACTTAGCCTACTCCACTATAGTGCCAGCCCCAACATCTGTTAATTATTTCACCTAAGTCTCAGGGTTGTGGTCTTGCTGATCAGACTTGGGTTGGGCTGGGCTTCCCTGGGCTGATTCATGCATCTGTCCCAGTAGGTAGGTTGATTGGGAGATAACTAGTTTATTTATTTATTTATTTTATTTGAAAATCAGAGAGAGAGATCTTCCATCCGTTAGTTCACTCTACAAATGGCCATAACAGTCAGGGCTGGACCAGGCTAAAGCCAGGAGCTTCTTCTACATCTCCCACATGGGTGCAGGGGCCCAAGCACTTGAACCATCCACAGTTGCTTTCCCAGGTGCATTAGAAGGGAGTTGAATCAGAAATGGAGGAGCCAGTGCTTTGGCATAGAGGGTAAAGCCGCTGCCTGCAATGCCAGCATCCCATATGGGCACCGGTTCAAGCCATGTCTGCTCCACTTCCAATCCAGTTCTCTGCTATGGCCTGGAAAATCAGTGGAAGATGGCCCAAGTGCTTAGGCCCCTGCACCTGTGTGGGAAACCTGGAGGAAGCTCCTGGCTCCTGGCTTCGGATCAGTGCAGCTCCGGCCGTTGCGGCCATGTGGGGAGTGAAACAGCAGATGGAAGACCTCTCTCTCTCTCCTTCTGCCTCTCTGTGCCTCTGCCTTGCAAATAAATAAATCTTAAAAAATAAAAAGAGAAGAAGTAGAGCAGCCAGGATTCAAAGTGGTACCCATGTGGGATGCTGGCACTGCAGACAGCAGCTTAACCCACTGCACCACAGCACTGGCCCTGATAACTGGTTTGTAATGGCTTCTGTGGGGACACCATAGCTCTACTCCACATCCTTCCGGCAGGCTAGCTTGCAATGATAAATTCCAAGATAGAAGTCAGAAATGGGCAATGTTTTTCACACCTCTTCTGCTTCTCCACCTAAATAACTGCTCTGGATCCCCTGGACTGGTCATCCTCGCCCCTCGCCCAGCTCGCTGACCCACACTTCAGCCCCAAACAGCCCAGAGGTCTGTTTATCCCCCGTGGCTACACGTGGACATTCAGGCATCAGTCCACAAACACTCATCCAGCCCCTGCCTGACATGAGACAGATTTGATTTCCAAGTCGGCTCTCTGCTCAGGTCCAGCTGGTCCTGCCTGAGAGCTTTCTGTAGGGTCTGTTTTCTGTAAGGCCACCAAAGCCAGCAGGATCTGTGCTCTCACCATAGCTGCCCCACATTCTGGAAACCTCTGCTGCCTGCAAAATCCGGCTTCCCCATCGCTCTCTCAGATTGCCCTGATGAGAAGGAGAAACTGAGGCACCGAGGGCAGGGTGGTAACGGGCATCGAGCTGGGTGCTGCATCCAGGCTTGCCGCCGTCAGCCCTTTGGGAGGGTCACCTTCTTGGTGGCTCTGGCTGGATGCCGGCTGTGAGGGGATCCACGCTTCCGGTAAACCACGGCACAGCAGGCACAGTGTGGATTCTGATGACCGTGCAGGATCTTTCTCCGAAGCCTCAACTTTGGTCTCCAAGTCATGCATGTTCTAGCTGGAGTCAAGGTCCTGAGGGAGGAAGAAAAACATGTGGAGGGCGTGCATGGCTCACCCGTTGCCCTGCCATTCGCCTACTGCTGCCTGCTCCTGGCTCTCCCACTCTGCACGTCCTCCCTGCCCCCACCCCCCGCTGTGTGCACTGTTAGTCCAAGGCCTTCCCTGTAGCTCATCTCCCAGCCGCGGCTGAAAAGCAAACAAGAGACACATCCGGTAGAGACTTGGCAGCTCTGAGGCCAAATTCAGGAGGAATTCCTCCTCCTTGGAGATCGCTCTGTCATGAAAATGGTGCGCAGGACCAACCTGCACAGGAGCGAGTCAGGAAGTGGGAAGTGACTCTCTTCTGGCCTGTGGTGGGCGCAGTACCTGGCAAATCTTTTTGCCCTCATCAACGATGCTGAGAGCCGGGTAATATTATTCCTGATTACGAAACAGGGCACAAACTCAGAGAGGTTAAGTAACTATCCAAAGGTCATACAGCTGCGAATGGATCCCACGTTGTCTGAAATTCAGATGTAGCCAGTGACTTGGGCAAGGCCTGTTTCCTTTCTGCCCAAACTAAACTGTAACTCGTATCTGTGACTTCTTATACCACATTCCATATGCTCCCACCTAACCTATCAGAGTGTCTTACGCTTGAAAAAAAAGCCACTGAACAAATGAATAATTGGATGAACGAATCATCATCCAGTTAGAAGGAAAAAGACATTCCTTCTCATCTAGGAGCACCTGAAAGTGAGGAGAACGTGAACATTTTCTGCTCTGACGTTGTTCATTTCTTAAAAAAGATTATGTATTTGAAAGGCAGAGTTCTAAGAGAGGGAGACAGAAACAGAGATTATCGTCCATCTGCTGGTTTACTCCCAAAGTGGCCACAACGGCTGGGGCTGGGTAAGAGAAGCTGGGAGGAATATAACATCCCTGTGCCTCGTTCTGAAGGCCAAGGCAACCAGCTCAGACCCGACCAGCTCAGTCACGGAGTAAGGAAAGAGTTCTTTCTCCTAAAGAAAAGACCTGCACAGCCACTCTGCAAAGTGCACAGACACAGGAAGCATGAATAATTCTGGTCACTTTCCAGGATACCATAGGTGATCTTCTATATCTCTAGAGGAGCCATTAGTGATGTTACCCAGCAACCTGCTGGTCTGAGTTTTTCCCCAAAGATTATATTGCAAAAACAAGTTTAAGGGTCAGCACTGTGACATAACGGGTGTAAGTGCCGCCTGTGGTGCTGGCATCACATATGGGCACTGGTTCAAGTCCCGGCTGCTCCACTTCCTATACAGCTCTCTGCTATGGCCTGGGAAAGCAGTGGAAGATGACCCAAGTCCTTGGGCCCCTGCACCCACGTGGGTGACCCAGAAGAAGCCCCATGCTCCTGACTTCAGATAGGCCCGGCTTTGGCTGTTGCAGCCGGTTGGGGGATGGGCCAGCAGATGGAAGATCCCTCTCTGTCCCTGCCTCTGCCTCTCTCTAACTCTGCCTTTCACATAAATAAATAAACATTTTAAAAAACAGTTTATCGGCCAGCGCCGCGGCTCACTAGGCTAATCCTCCGCCTTGCAGTGCCAGCACACGGGGTTCTAGTCCCGGTTGGGGCGCCGGATTCTGTCCCAGTTGCCCCTCTTCCAGGCCAGCTCTCTGCTGTGGCCCGGGAAGGCAGTGGAGGATGGCCCAAGTGCTTGGGCCCTGCACCCCATGGGAGACCAGGAGAAGTACCTGACTCCTGCCATCGGATCAGCGCGGTGCGCCGGCCGTGGCGGCCATTGGAGGGTGAACCAACAGCAAAGGAAGACCTTTCTCTCTGTCTCTCTCTCTCACTGTCCACTCTGCCTGTCAAAAACAAAACAAAACAAAACAAAACAAACAAAACAAAAAAAAACAGTTTATTACATGAATTTTCAAGTTGCTTGCATATAAATTTACTATTCTTCTTTGCTATCTATATAACATACTTTTTTGAGTAAGATTTATTTTTTATTTATTTGAGAGGCAGAGTTAGAGGGAAAGAGAGGTCTTCCATCCGCTGCAACGAATGGGGCTGGGCCAGGCCAAAGCAGGAGCCAGGAGCTTCTTCTGGGTCTCCCACATGGGTGCAGGGGCCCAAGCACTTGGGCCATCTTCTGCTGCTTTCCCGGGTGCATGAACAGGGAGCTGGATTGGAAGTGGAGCAGCCTGGACTTGAACTGGTGCCCATATGGGACGCTGGCACTGCAGGCGGTGGCTTTACCCGGTACGCCACAGCGCCGGCCACACTATGTAACATACTTAACAACCTTCATGTAATCCACCTGTGTGCGTTTCCTAACAGAGGGCCATGGACTCACAGACAGACGAAGCTAGGACCCTGCCCTCCTGCCCTGCGCTGCAGTCTTACTCTGGGATGAGCAGAGGTTCGCATGTCAGCCAGCCCAGATCCAGTGATCTGCATCCTGTACTGAGCTTTGCACTCCTCCACTTGGCGGGTTCCTGTTGGGGAAGGTCTAAAAAAGAATCCTGAAGTGGGTTTTGGGTTTCCCTGCAGTTAATCCTTGCTGCCACGTGGTGTCGCTGTTGAAGCTCTGTCCTGCATAGCCTCACGGACACAATCTCTGTGAGATGTTTTTACTGGTCCAGATTTTTGAACAGCCAAAGTGCAACTCTGATTGCAGACTTTACAATTTTGCAGTCATTCAGTTCAGCCACTGTTTCCCAAAGATCAATACCATCAGGTTCTGCCTGGGTTCTGGAAGGCTTCTAACCTGAGTCATGTCATAACCATCCTGCTCCCTACAAACTCTTAGGGCCTTGTCTTTTTTTTTTTTTTTTTAATTTAACAGAGTTAGACAGTGAGAGAGAGAGAGAGACAGAGAGAAAGGTAGTTCTTCCGTTGGTTCACCCCCCAAATGGCCATTCCAAAGCCAGGAGCCAGGTACTTCTTCCTGGTCTCCCATGCGGGTGCAGAGGCCCAAGGACTTGGGCCATCCTCCACTGCCTTCCCCAGGCCACAGCAGAGAGCTGGATTGGAGAAGGAGAAACCAGGACTAGAACCCGGCGCCCACATGGGATACTGGCACCGCAGGCAGAGGATTAACCAAGTGAGTCATGGCTCCGGCCCCAGGGCCTTGTCTTGTGCAGTGGTTGACAACCACAAAGCGGTAGCAATGATCTGATGTGAATTTAACATTTACCATGCTGTCAGGCACTATAGTAAGAATGTTACAAGAGGCTGGCACCTTGGCTCACTTGGTTAATCCTCCGCCTGTGGCACTGGCACCCTGGGTTCTAGTCCCGGTTGGGGTGCCAGGTACTAGTCCCAGTTGCTCCTCTTCCAGTCCAGCTCTCTGCTGTGGCCCGGGAAGGCAGCGGAGAATGGCCCAAGTCCTTGGGCCCTGCACCCGCCTGGGAGACCAGGAGGAAGCACCTGGCTCCTGGCTTCGGATCGGCACAGCGCCGGCTGTAGCAGCCTTTAGGGGAGTGAACCAACGTAAGAAAGACCTTTCTGTCTGTCTCTTTCTCACTGTCTAACTCTCCCTGGCAAAAAATAATAATAAAAAAAAAGAATGTTACAAGTGTTGTATGATGGCTAATTTCAGTGGCAACTGCATTAAACCCAGGTAGCGGATAAAGCATGATTCCTGGGTGTGTCGGTGGCAGGTCAGTTGGTGGACTGAGTGGAGAAGACCCACCCTCTGCGTCGGTGAGCACATCCAATAGGCTGGGGGCCTAAACTGAACAGCAATGCAGAGCAGAAGGGAATTCTCTCTGTCTCCTGGAGCTGGGACACCATTCTCCCCTTGAACACCAAACTTTAGGTTCTCTGGGTTTTTGACTCAAGTGGGCCCCTGGATTCTCAGGCCTTTGGTCTTGGACTGAGCCTTGTTCCTGACTATCCTAATTCTCCAGCTTGCAGATGACCTGCAGTGGGTCTGTAACAGAGGCCAACAATACACATTTTGAGCATGAAAAGACCCGAGTGACCTGGGTTTGACCTGGGACCCCCTACTCACTCTTTGATGGATGGTTTTGTTTGCATTTCCCTGAAGCCTAGATGCTGATGACCTGGTCACAAGATAGGACTGGAATGCCCTGGTCACAAGATAAAGAGCCAACTAGAGATGGAACATCTGGGGGACCCTACCCGGTTTCCGCCTGGGTGACTGCAGCTAAAATTGCATATTCCCTGTATAAACCCAGCCCCCTTCCCTCAGGCAGAGAGGTGGGACGTTAAGGCACTGGCCTGCCGCCTTCCCTGTTGTTAGCATCCCAAAGAAACTTTCTCTCTCTCTTCCCCAAATCCTTGTTCTCTGAGTCATTGGCTTCTCTTGCAGTGAGTATCCGACTTCAGGTTCGCTAACAGAATTTCTTAGCCTCCGTGATCACATAAGCCAATTCCCGTAAATCATCTATCTATCATCTACCTATCACTATCTATCTATCATTCTTTCTCTCTGGAAAACTCTAACTAATACAGATAACATTTCATTTAAAGGGAGACCACATTTTAGAGAAAGAATATGTTACTGAAGACTTTAGATAATTCAAAAACTTTTAAATCATTGGACACTCTGTTTTCTAGAAGAATGACAGTGAGAGGTAGGGAGAGGAACCTTCAACTGTTGTAGAATATTTTTGCCTCTGTGCTACTTTTTGCCTACTAAAAACAGTAAAGTCTCTAGTATTTCACAGAGTGGGCATTCCTAAATTAACTGCTTGGCTTGTCACAACAGTTATTTGGGCTTTTTCATAGTGTTCTAGCCTAACTTCTATTACAAAGTTATTGATTTGGAGAGTGTTTTTGGCACTAAGGCTGTTGCTTAATGAATCCTAAGATAACATCATTCTAGGATACAGGAAGTATTTTAAAATGATAACACTGAGCGCTAATATCACAGCACACTAGTCATTAATGTCACTGTTGGAAGCTATGATTTACATAAACAACAATGTGATTCACGTGATAGGAGCAGCGATTTACTTTTGCCAGCGTAAGTGGCACTGTCACACAGCCAGAGCTGGAAGTACAGCTTGCA